TCATTCACCTTCTAGTTTGTTGATGCCATTTGAGAATTTCATTTTGTTACATTGAAGTTAGCCCTTGAGGTAACAAGTCAATGTTATATCTAATAATAGCTGTAGATAGAGTAAATGACGAGTAAAGTAAATGATCTCCTTTCTTAGAAACCTGCCTTCAAGGAAAAACAGAGAAGTCTGAGACTGTCTCCTGAATATTATTTGAACCTGAAGACTAGAAGTATGTCTGCCTTTCCTAAAAGAGTAAAAGGGATAATTTTTGGTAAACAAAAGGTGTCAGTTCTGTTGCATAGTCCAGCCTGTAAGCAGCAGCTGTTTAGTGTGGTTCGCAGTAATAGCATTAGTGAATGGTAGGTTCCTCCAGGCTGTTAAAATCAGCAAGCTGAGTAGTGCAGCTTGCCTCTCTTCTGCATCCCTGCATTCTGAGCTTTTCCACCTTGCATTGAGAGTACAGTTATATCTCACCAACAAGTTTTGTTCCCAGTGTTTCTGTGAATAGAGTAAAACTGCCTTGTGAAAAAGTAAAGTAAAATGCCTGTTTTTGCTAGGTAAGTAGTAGTATAGGCATCTTAAAATATGATAGAAGATAGGTGCTGGGATGCTGCTGGAGCCAGAATTCTTTGAGAAGCCAGGAGATTGAGAAAATTGTCTTGTGCTATATGTTGAAGAAAGTTCTCTTAAAAAAAAAAAAAACAACCAAAAACAAACCAACCAAAAAAACCCCCCCAAAACCAAAACCAAACTGGAATTAAGATATTGCTTATATCTCTATGTACATCATGTGCTACAAATTGAGATTCTATTCCTAATGATTAAGATACTGTCACAGTCTTGACGTAAGAGGTAACAAGTGCTTCTGAAGATCATAGAGGCTATCTGGGCAAAATACTTAACTGAAAACGGTGCCTGTATTGGCTGGGTGAATATCGTGTTGTGATCTGGTTTTCAGACAACAAGTTATTCCCTTGGTTAGTAGAGAAGTGACTCTGAGATTAGTCCCAAGCAGCATACAGGGACTTGTTTTACAGATATCAGAGCTGCTTTTTTTTTGTGACAGTTGCAGTAGCCTTGCCTGAGCAAAGATGTTTGGAAAAGTGTAAACTAAAGTAATATTAAATTTTAAAAAAGCATCTCTGTCTTGAGAAGCTTCTTCACTTGGAAGCCAAAAAGGTAAAGTACTTGAAAATGCTGTATTGAGATATTTGTGTTGTCATATGCTGACTGTGAAGATAGCATTGGCTCTTATCCAGAAGGACGTAGACTAGGAAGATGGTGTTCTCTGAGAAGTAGAAGCTGTTTAAGGAAAACTGGAAAGCGCAAACACAACAGAAGTTTGTTAAGACAGAGTCTGAGAACTGGTTTGCTTAAGTGAATTAAAACCTGAAAACCTTGCACATCAAAAGCAAGAAACTTACCAGTCACTAGGACTTGTAGAGAGAGATGTCAAAAGGCACCCAGAAGTCAGACTGTGTAGTAAAAACAAAGTGAACTAGTTGCATTGCTTTTTGTCAGAGAAGGCTCTAAGAGACTTCTCACCAGAACTTGCTTTGACTCCAGGCAACTGTCATTTTAGATTTCAGTAAGGAGTGTTTAAATCCATCAGTAGAACGATACTATTGTACAGCCATGTCTGGTGGTATATGCTGAAGAATTCTGGAGGAACTTAACCATGAAACCATGGCGTATGGTTTGAACTTTTAAATGAGTTTTGATTATCTAGCTCTTGTGCTGCTGTCCCATGCAAACTGAAGCATTAAATGAAGTGCTGCCTTGTCAGTGCAAGGTAGAAAATATGAAGCTAGCTTCCTAAAAAACTAGGTTAGGGAAGTGTAGACTAGCGATGGATGGTATTCTTTTGAGTCTTTCATGATACGATTAAGAATTGTAACAGTGTTAATCATCTGAACAGAAGCTCAGTGGGGCATTGAAGTGAGAGGGTGTTTGTGTGCTTGGTGTTTTTCTGACCTTGCTGACACACTAGTGGCTGCTTTTGAAAGACTACGCTGTGTATGGTAGAGGCTGCAGTGCTCAGGGGAACTGAGACCCCTTTTATTCCACTGCTTCCCTAATATGGGATGGCTACTATAAACATGGGGTTTTTTCAGGAATGTCTGGATCTCCTGGAGCAGTTGTATGGGATTGATACCATAACAAAACAGAATTTTTACATGACTAAACATAAAGAAAGGGGTTAGTGCATGCTTTGATAAAGGTAGTTGTGTCTCACAGGTCTCATTTCCTTATTCATGTAGTCAGTCTGATAACACAAAACTGTTGTATTTTTTCAGAAGAATGTTTCTGAGATCAGTTTTTACAAAGTCTTCAAAATTAAACAGTCACAGGTTTGCTGGGCTTATGGGTTAACTGCTTAGAAGTAACCAAAGGAAGAAATAAACTATTTGCTTTATAATAAGGGAAGGTTAGTAGTGGAATTACTTAAGACTCTGTTGCTCAATATGTTTGTAAATATATGAATATGTTTATTCATAGGGAAGAAATGAATGAGAAAAGGATAGAAAGGATAATAGAAAGCTAGAGCTGACTGCAGACAGTCACAGTGGGAGTTCATTGTTCATTAGGTTATAAAATTGCTGATAAAACTAAATTTTAGTAAATATGGAATCAAGAATCTGAAGAAAAATAATTCAGGCTGAATATACATATTGGTTGGGCTTTATATTGGTGGTTATTGTTCAGAATACACCTTGAAGCTCCTTTATAATGGTTTCTTTTAAAGAGCAGCTGTATGCTCAGATATCCTCAAATAGCAGTTAGCAGCAATCTTTGCAAAGACATGGACAATAAAATGAAAACAGGTGTGTGTCATGGATGAATGGTGTAATTATGTATTGACTGCATTTCTGGCCACCTGTCAGAAAACATGGCGCAACTGAAAAGAAGTTGAAGGAGGGTAGTTGTGATCAAACTTTGGACCTGCTCCTGTGTAATGAAAGAGAAAAAAAGATGAGGATTGCTAGCTTGAAAAAGAGCTGGTGGATAGAGACAAGTGGCTATGAATTAAGAGCCTGAGAAGTGCAGTGTTTGGAAATGAACTGCCAGTAATAACCTTTTTCCCCCAAGAAATAGCATCAGATAAAATCATTAACAGGCAGCATTTTAAAAGAAAGCACTACTTTATTCTGATGCATACTTAAATTCTCATAGAATGCTATGAATGACAAAAGCATAAATGGACTAAAAAGACCTGGAAAAATCAGTGGAAGAAAAGTCCTTTGAGCTAAAACACCTTATGATTGGGATACACCCCAAAAGTATGCTAAATGAAATTACTGGAAGCTTGGAAGGATTGCTGCAAGGGAATTGGGTAACTGCTTTGTTATTTTTTTCTTTCACACAGTATCTGTCTACTGCTGATTATTTTTTTTTTTTATAAGCAGGACAATGGGAAGTCTTTAGTTTGGCTCCACTGCTGTTAGGTGTATTCAAGTATTTTCTTCATTGGTCTTGTCCTCTTGGAGAAGGGGGGGGGAAAAGCATGCTTTCTAGAAACAAAATAATGTTAATTTGTACCTTCTGTCTTGCTTTGAAATTTTGAAATCGAGTAGATTCGTCAACAAATTGAAGTTTAGTTGATAAGCCAACTATGTAGTTAAATGTTCAATTGTGTATCCAGGCCCAGTTTAAGAGAAAAGGCAAACAGTAATTGGAAATATGTATACTTTTTAGAATTATCTTAGTGCTTTGCTGCTAAAATTTTCTTTGCCTATGGAACAGAATCCTGACACTTAAAAATTTGGCATATGGTCAGTTGGAGGCTATCTGTTAGAGTGGGAATTGTCTAGTTAAATGAGTTGTAAAAATCTCAGGGGAAGAACTATGTGTTCTACTAGAGATGTATAAATTTTTTCTTTTGAAAGCCCAAGTATGTTAACTGGTCTTTTCCAACCATGAAGATTCTGTGATTGAGCTGGATTTTTTTTTTTAGGACAGTATTTGGATTTCACTATGATGTTGATTGATATGTTTCTTGAATTAAAAATCTTAGAAATATGTCTACATCAAAAATGTTTTTGTAAAATATCACAGGAGTAGTTAATTACTCTTCTGTTTCAGAAATTGTGATGTTTGTGGTTTTTTTTTTTTTTTTTTGCTTGGCATGGCTTGATGCTCTTCCATTGAATGCAAACACAACATTCACCTTAAAACTCAAATTGATCTTTCAAACTTGGCAGTGAGTGTTCCATAGTATTGGGAGATGGGAAACAAAAGGACTTAATAGGTGTATAAAGATCCAGTGTCAGAACTCCTTGTGTAGCACTGGTATTAATGTACTTTACACTTGAGAATATATTTAACACCTTCTCATCTGAAGTAGTTTAGTTGGAAGGTCACTTCCTATACGAATGAATGGCTAATAAAGGCCTTGAGTGATCAAAGTTTGTCAAAGTGGACATTTTCACATCAAGGCATACTCAAATATTCCTTGTATCACCTTCTACAAAAACTCATTAATGCTAGTGGTCTGTTTCCAAGCCTGTGTAAACTTCCACATATACAGAAATGAAAACCCTGGAAGAATAAGCCTACTTGAAGATTGTAATTGTTTTTGTGCTGCTTCATATTTGGATCATTTGGATATTTGGATATTTGGATAGTTTTTAAGCCTGTACATTGTTTGTTAAGGAAAATAATCTTTGGGAATCAGAAATTGGCGTTCACTGTTGAGCCAGTAGGAAGGTTAGTAAATACTAGTTTTTGCATCCTGTGTCTTTTGATGTCTTTAGCATTCTGGTAACATGTTGAGCGCTGATGAGGTATTGTTGAGATTGAGAGGTGCTACCATGAAAATCAAGGATGAATATATCTGCCCCAAACCCTCCAGTTTCTCATCTGAAAGCCTTACTGTTGTGGCATTCAGCTGTCTTGAAAGTACTGCTGGTTTTGGTTAAATGATGATATTAAATAAAAACTACGGCCTGTTTTGGTTGAAATTTATTTTAATAGTTAATCATTATAACGGATGCTACTTTCTCCTTCAGACTGCATGAAGAAATAATTGACTTCTATGACTTCATGTCCCCTCGTCCTGAAGAAGCAGCTATGAGAAGAGAAGTGGTGAAAAGGATAGAAACGGTCATCAAAGATCTTTGGCCTACAGCTGATGTGAGTGTAACTCAAATGTTGATTTGCTTCTCTAGTAAATTGTCAAACTTGGTATGCTTAACCTTGCTGTTGTCTTTCTATGTTTTAGAAATGAACAAATAAGACTTCAATCTTAATGCATTTGATTTAATATTACAAATCTTGCAGTAACTTGGCAATTTATTTTAAAAAGTGAAGGAAATTTAAAACCTAAATTTCAGATTAATGAAGGCTACTGATAATTATCTTCATTTTGAGAACTGGGTATTTGAAGAACTGTTCACTTAAGGAAGTGCATTTCTTAAAGTAAAAGTTCATGAAATTGATTGTCTCTGCATAACTTCATTAAAGTTTATAAATAAACTTTATTAAAGTTTGGCTGACTACCTATGTATCCGTTTCTGCCAGGACTCTTGACTGTGTTGATATTTGTAAATGCAAGTATTATACAGAAGAACAGTTAAAAAGCCCGGAATTCTTTTGGACTCTTCACAAGTTTGACATTCAGGGAATTAGTTCAGCCCTGCTTTAGTGGGAAAATTGGACTTCCTGAGTTGTCTTGCAACCAAAGTTGTTGTATTTTCAAACCCTTTATTACCCAAAGAATATATTTCCTGCAAACCGAAATTATTCAGAAGGAATTAATGTAAACTGTATATCTAGCATCACCTTTCTGATTACCAGATAGTAGCATTGTCATTAACAAGCAGAAAAACATTTCAGAATAACGTGATGTCATAGCCTTCCATAACAGCGAGGGCTGTGGCCACAGAACTGAGCTGAAGATGCTGTAAAGGTCATCTATGCCATCCTCACCTGCAATTCTCCTTGGTAATAACATTTTTCTAGCTTGTGAGAACAGGTATAAACACTGAAATGGCTCAGTGTTGCCCAGCCTTTGCATAGGTCACTTCAGCGAGGAGAACTTGTAAATTTTGCTCTGCTGTAGCAGAGGGTGTAGAATGTCTCAGTTCTTTAGATTGGAAGCATGTTAAAAGTATTTGATTTGGACTGTGAATGTCTCTGTCTCTTCAACATACGTTATTTTCTACGCATAAACACCTACCACATTTTCATATTCACCCTTCCAGTAAAATTCATGTTTCTCTGAATGATATGTTATAGATGTGCTTGCTGGCTTTTAAGCAAAAAAAAGTTTGGAAAAATATTTCCCTTAAACTCTTCCAATTTCAGTAAAGCTGTCCTATGAGGAAAGAAGGGAGCAGGAAGGAATGAAATTTATAATAGCTTACATTTCTGTCAACCTGGAAATTAACAGTGTAAAGGACTTGTTTCAAAAGTTTATGCTCTACTGCTAGCAGGATTCCTAGTCATTTCATGTTTAAAAAAAATACAATTTCGTCTAAAGTTGCATCTGTAAGACAAAGTGTATTTGTAGAGACTTAACAGAGTATGTAGCAAAGTAAGTTCAGTAACGTCTTTACTGGGCTATATCCTTAACAGGTCAAGAAAAATCTTAAGTCTTGTGAAAGTGAAATGAAGTGAGCATTCATAATTACAAGATATTTAATTGATCTGGGTTTCTTTCAGGTCCAGATATTTGGCAGCTTTAGTACAGGGCTTTATCTTCCAACTAGGTAAGTAATAATTCATTTTTATATAAAAGCTTGTCTTCTTTTAGAGTAATGGTAAATTTTAAAGGGGAATTTAGACTGTAACGTGTAAACCTATCAAACTTCCAGTAAAATTCTTGCCTAATGTCCCATGTGACAAAGGGAATAGCTTTTGAACTTAGAGGTTTGGGGTAAGTATTTGATATTTGATGTATCACTGTACTGCTGTAGGTACTTACTGACCCTTTGGTGAATTCCATTTTCTTCCTTGTGGCTGGGATTAGTCTTTGGCTCTTTATTTTCAAGACACAGTGAAATTGAATGTTTAGTATTTTCTGTGTAAAGATTTTATTAAATAAGTTGAATTACTGAGAGTGTGTCACATCACAGAGTTACTGTGTGAAGTCAGAGGTGTTATCACAGCTATGTTTTCGCATTTTTTTGAGAGAAAAATGTCTTATTTAATTCAGTGTTTTTTGTTGCTTAATGATTCAATAGACAGATGTGTAGCTGTGTCTTAAAGACTATGTTGTCTTTATATCAATTAAATTTTCAGTAGGATAGCACTGGAAATTTAATTTCGATGAATAACAATCACTGATAAAAATTGTTTGGACTATTAACATGCCTGTCAACATGGGTTGATGAGGGATGGAATTGGGCAGTGGAAGTCAGAGGGGAGGGAGCAGGAGAGGTAAAACGGAGAGAAGCTCAGAGAACTGGAAGCAAGAGGCTAGAGTACTACTTTGGGTCCTAAAGTGCACTAGACCATCTCTTACTTAACATTGCCAAAGGAAGCTTATTGGGAACCTAGATTAAAAGTTGCAGAATGGTCACCCTGGAGGACTTAAAATATGTAGAGTGCCAATTTTACCTTTTTTTGGTGAAGTATTATGCTTTAGTCTTAATGGATCTCATGCTGTGGTTTTTTTTTTGTCTAGTGATATTGATCTAGTTGTTTTTGGGAAATGGGAACGGCCCCCTTTACAGCTACTGGAGCAAGCACTAAGAAAACACAATGTGGCTGAGCCATATTCCATTAAAGTACTTGATAAAGCTACGGTAAGTAATAGTCTTTGGAATACTGAACTGAAAAGCTTTCAGACTCCTTAAGATGTTAGTGATAAATAGTGTTTTCAATTCATCAAGCAAATGATGTTGTCTTAAGCCCAATGTTTTGATCTGTGCAGTATTTTAGTAGAATGGTATGTGCTTAGCAGTAGCACACCTTTTTTCACATGGACATCAGTAATTCTGTGTACTTTATATGCTGTAAGGCCGTACTTGATGCTTTCATTATCAATAAAGATCTGAAAGTCAGTATTTGCAAAATATCTAGTAAAATAAGTGAACTAATTGTATAATGTTTTTCCACTGACCTTTGAGAAGACTTTGTTTAGCCAGAGGCCAGTAACTAGAGCTATCTAGCCTGAAACCCCACTTTTTCAGGTTGTCTTGTTTCTGATGACATAATGAAGTGTTCCAAACCTGACAGTTGTTTTTTTCCCTTCCAAAATATGCTACTTAAGAGTTTTATTTCATTTGTGAAGCTGATGTGTAGTATCTCTTGAATCTGTCTTGTCAGCCTAATGGATCACATTGAATATGCTAAAAAACTTAAAATTATGAGACTTTTATGTTACTGAGCAAGTGGTGGTTTCTCCAGGAGCAGAGTATTCCAAACTTTTATTAGCAAGCTGTTGCTTTTTCTGCTCTCTGAAAAAGGGTGACTTTTTTAGGTCCGGAAGATTCTGATGGCTTCTGTTGGAGTAGCAGTACATAACAGTAACTCTGGTAATCTTTGGCTTATGTGAGAATGAGTGGGATTTTCAGAATCAGTTAGTGATGTAAAATGGTGCTAGGCTTATTGATTTTACTAGCCTTTCTTATTTTATTTCTTCTGCTGTTGGTATAAAATGCTGCTCTTTTTTGTATTCTATTTCAGATTAAAAATACAAGAAGTTCAATTTAAAATAAATGTCATCAGCTGAAGTTTTAAGTTATGATTTTAAGACCATTTTGTAGGATACTGCCTTCAAGGTGGTTGTGTGAGACTAAACTACATATTCAGTAGTTCTGTAATAGATTATTGCTTCCACAAAAGGAAAGACTGCTACTCCTGCTTTGCTTTGATCTATTCTGGCTTTCATTTGACTCTGCAGTGAACCAGTTCAGCTTGAGAAACCAACAGACAGAGCTTTATTTTTTCTGCTAGGCTAGTCTTCTGTCAGTTTAGCAAGTGAATGGTGCAGTGCTGGGTCAGAGGAGTGCAGTTTCCACAAGTTATGAGAGTAAAACATCTCCTATTAACAGCAATGAGTCATTAAATTAAGTAAATTTAGTTATCTTACAAAACACGGATATTGCAGCTATGAAGGCAGATATCTAATAGCTGTGGGAGAGTACGTGGGTGACCATATATTAATGTGATCATACATGTCTGTGTTTTTAGTCACCTCACTAAAAAGCGTTTGCTTGTCAGTCAAGTCTCAAAAACATGTTTTCTTGCCTTGATAGTTGCATTCATTTGGACTGATAGTATCTGTGTGTCTTAAGTCAGTAAGCTGGAAAATAGGATGAGTGTTGCATTTCTGGATGTTCTTAAAACCTTGTTTTAATATTTACAGGTACCAATAATAAAACTTACTGACCAGGAGACAGAAGTGAAAGTTGACATCAGTTTTAACGTAGAAACTGGTGTGAAGGCAGCTCGATTTATTAAGGAATACATGAAGGTATCAACCATATAATGAATACTATACCACTTACCAAGGATATGCTAGATGCTTAGCTAACCTTTTTTGGTATGGCTTAAGAGTTTTGAAGATTTATTGCTGAAGACTGTTTTCATTGATTAAACAAATTTATTTTCTATTGATATCTATTCAGTGTTGCCTGTGAGTACTAGGGGTTTGTGTGGATAGATCTACACATAAGAGGTTCCACTCAAATATGAGAAAAAACTTCTTCACGGTGAGGGTGACAGAGCCCTGGAACAGGCTGCCCAGGGAGGTTGTGGAGTCCCCTTCTCTGGAGATTTTCAAGACCCGCCTGGATGCAGTCCTGAGTAACATGCTCTGACAAGCTCTAGGTAATCCTGCTTCAGCAGGGGAGTTGGACTAGATGATCTCTATGGTCCCTTCCAACTCTAAAAAAATTCAGTGAAATTCAGTGAAACCTGTACACTGAAAGGACTTCTACAGTCATGTCTACATCTGCAGTACTAAACTGTTTTTAAAGCAAGTATGTTCAAGTATTGCTTACCTTGAATTTAAGTGATGCTTGATTATGAATGCTATCTTGCTAAACGATGTGTAAAAACAATTCTTCTGTAGGTACATACTTAAAATCGTTTACTTCTATGCTTTGCAGTAAAAGTACTGTTTGAATGGAAAGCTTTGAGAGACACTGGCATTCAAAAATGATATGAAAATCTTCCTGTTTAGGGGGGAGAAATAAATCTGATGTGTAAACTGCTTGATCAAATAAGAGTTGAAATCTGTTAATCTGTTTCTAGAATAAAAACATGTTTCTGTTCTTCCTGTGGAAACACTTTATGGCACGCGGAACAACACTTTTGTATTAGAAGATGAATCTTCTTGTATTTAGATTGTGTTTCTTTGTTTTGGAATGTTGACGTTGTCATTGATAAGACTTACTTTGCTTTGCAGAAATATTCTTTGCTGCCTTACTTGATTTTAGTATTAAAACAGTTCCTCCTTCAGAGGGATTTGAATGAAGTTTTTACTGGTGGAATTAGCTCTTACAGCCTAATTTTAATGGCAATTAGTTTCCTGCAGGTAAGTCTGTTCCTTATTTGTTTCTGTGTTCTTTAAAGTATTTTGGTTTCTGTACTTATGCTCTGTTATGGTGCTGTTTCTTTAGTCCACTAGCAATGCACAGCTTTATGGTTATGGCTGTAGGTGTTTGATCATTGGCAGCTCCTTCAGACTACCTCTCAAAGCTCTAGGAACTTCTGTTCACTGTATGAACTGAAACAGTAGCAGGAGCTTTGTGAACAGCTAATTAAAGTTACAAAAGCAAGCAGTCAAGTTGCTTTTTAATTATATGTTGATTAGGTTTTGACATACGTAAAACTGGCAGATATTGTAGGTAACTTAATGAAATAGTTAATGAGTTATAACTTCTTCCAATATGTTTTTATGACAGTAAGCTTTGTATGAGTATGATGAGGTACAATGTTAGGCACCTCTCAGCAGCTGTGACGGTGGAAAAAACCTACATATCCTGCTGCTGTCAATGATTAATTGAAATATTGCTATAGATATATATATGGGGGTATTGATAGAAGAACTGTATTCCAATTGGGGTAAATAGATTCCCTTCAACTTCTGAAAAGATTAAGACCGATGGGTTTTCTGTGAAAAATCAGGTATTACTCCATTACTAAGCTGTAATGTAGTATGCAGTACTTCTTTATTGCCTTTGGTTTAGTAAAAAGAATTTACTAATCTTCAAATAGCTGGAAGAGGAGGGAAGAAAGAATTTGGCTTCCAGATACTGCTGAAGTGCTGCCCCCTCTTGGTTGTGTGAAAGTGGTTTAAGTACATGAAGAATTAATGACTCAATTCAGACTTGTGTAAAGAGATTATACTCAGCTGTTTAAACGAAAGCTTTTTGTTCCACTTTGTTATGGTCTGAAAAGAAATAATTTTTAATAATTAACAACTGTTCTGTGTCACAGCTGCATCCAAGAATTGATGCCAGAAGAGCTGATGAAAACCTTGGAATGCTTCTGATAGAATTTTTTGAACTCTATGGAAGGAATTTTAACTACTTGAAGACTGGTATTAGAATAAAAAATGGAGGTGCCTATATTGCCAAAGAAGAAATCATGAAAGTCATGACTAATGGATACAGACCATCCATGCTATGTATTGAAGATCCTCTCCTGCCTGGTAAGATCGTACGCTTCTTGCAATATTCCAGAGCTCTGCTCTACTTGTGCTCTCACAGCTTATCTTAGTCCCTAAAGTCCATTCAATGAGTTGGGAAGATACACTGAGAAGAGACTTTGGTGTCAAGGTACAGTTGTGGAGATGTGCTAAGGGAAAAGGGACCCGAAGTGTCCCAAGATTCCTAGCCTGAGTAAATTGAATTGCACACAAACAGCATGGATATAGACTGCATTGGAGATTTAGGACTGTTGACTCCTGAGACTGTTGACTGTTGAGATTCTATACCAGTGCTGAGGGGGCAGCGAAAGAAAGAGGTCCAGGAGATTGTGGAAGGGACTTTGTTAGTAGGAGCAGCTCTCCATTTTTCATTATGAGAGAATAAGAATAGAAGGTGTGTCTTTTTCTCACCACATTCTGTGGTGCTATACTTCAGATCAATTATACCATATGGGAAGGAAATGCACCAGATGAGGTACCTGTCCTGTAAGGCGGTGCACTAGAGACTGCACAGAAACATGGGTGTATATCCATGAATGTGTAGCAAGGGAGCAGCTGTATTATGGTGTCGGTGTGAAGAGTCTGGTTTGCATAACGGGCTTCTGTGCTGCACAGGGACCTTTGGAGAATGCCATTCTAGTTACATGTACTTTTGAAAGTAACTAACTGAAATACTTCTTTTTCTTTAAGATTTGGTTTTGATTCAGTAACCTTCAAAGTAATCAAGATTAATTTTGGCTGAGCTCTGGAAAAATCTTCCAGCTTTATAGTACTCAGTTTGGATTCTATTTAGACTGTCACAAGTAGCTGAAATTCCAAAGCAGCTTCTTAACTAAGTCAATTTTCAGTTAATTTGAACATAATCATTAATATTTCTAGAACGTAATTGGCACTCAAACTCCAGTCACGTCTTGTGGGTAGACTGCTTATGTAGAGCACTTCTAAAGCAAATACCATGGATCAGGAGCTGAAGTCTGGCACCTTTCTAAACACTTAGTATGCTGAATGTTCATCGTTCTCTAGAAGATATTGCAAGCTAAGATACTCATTTGTCTGACCACATCTCTGATACATTTGGAGCTCTGAGTTTGTGTCCGTCATGACTTGTGCTTGGCCAGACATAGTTGTGATTTTGCAGAGCTTTCATAGTGGTGTTGAGATTTACTTCAGTAGATGTGTACTTACTTGCGTAATGACCCATTTGGGTAGCAGCATGAGCCACATTTCTTTAGAGTCAATAACCTCTACTGTGCTCCAGTTCTGTTCCTTCCTATTTGTTGAGGACTGAAAAAGAAGAAATTGTGTATGCTGCACAATGTTTTAATCACTGCTGATGGTCACTCTTTGAATTTTTTTTTCTTCTCTAACATGACTTTTCAGAGAAGAAAAAAAAAATTGCAAAATCTTGCAGAAGCAAAGAACTATAATTTAGAAGGAAGATATCTAGTTATATGCTCTCAAAGAGTTGATAAGAACTACATTTTAGATGAGATTCTATGGGCTGAGATAATGTAACTGTTACAGGAGAGAAAGTATTTTAGCACGTGAAGTGAAAGCTGACAATAATTTGAAGTTATCTGACCACTATGTCCCATCGGAATATTTTCTCACAGCAACCACAGAGCTTCTGAACTTGCCTGACTGAACTAGGCGGAAAATTATGTAGAACGTATAGGATGGCTTTTTGAATTGGATCTCACAAATACAGTCTCCTTAGATCTAGACTCAATCAGATATTCCTACAGTATCTAAAATAACCTGTCAAGTGTATGTAGATAACGTCTAGAAGTCTGTTAATTAGTTTAGTTGCATTACTGCTTGTGTCCCAGTACAAAAAGCTTTTTAAGGGTTCAGGTCCTTGTCCAGTTGATAAGTCCTCTCTGCTTGATTAGTTTGTGGTCAGATCCACTCGGTGTCTAAGTCCATGAGGGTCAGTATGGAGGAGATGGGAACAAGTATTTTGGTAAAGAGTGGGTGCGTATGTTTTTTGACTTAAATTAGCATAAGCTGCTCTAGAGTTTTTTTCCCTCAAACCAGTTTATGCAATATATGCACAAATTTTTGATTTTTTTTTTGCAATCCTTTTTTAGCCCGATCACAGCTTTTTCTAAAGTTCTCATTAAGCCTTGGAAGAAGACTTCAAAAGATGACTTCTTAATCCAGATATCAGACAAAAAAATACAGGGATGAAAAAAATCCTTTCAATTTTTTTAATATTATCCAAGTAGCGTAAGGTAAGGTATCCAAGTAAGCCTATGAGTCTCTGCACTATGTCAGCCTTAGGATGTTGAAAGGTACAACTCATAAGAATAGCTTTAGATAGTCTTCTAGAAGACAGGATTAAATTCAATGGGATTAGTTCCCTTAAATTGGAGGAACTGTTTTTTCTTCAGTATGAAATGGTGATGTCTGGCTATCAGAAAGATAGGATACATCAGTTTTACCTGCTCAGTACCTTCTGTTAGTTCATAGATTTGGAAGTAACAGGCATCAACAACAACCTGTTGTCTTGCTGGGTTTCCTCTGAGATTCTCAAAGACCTATTATTGGGCACTAGAGGATTATAATTTGTGATTTGAGAGCCAAGATTCCAACAGAGATGTCAGGAGTCTACACTTGAACTGGGAAGTGGGTTAAAATCTAGATTTGAGATGTCAGACTAATCTAGCTGGTGATGCATTTTTAAAGTGGTAGCTTATACTTGCTCTGCATACATAGACTAAGGTTCTTCGTCTTGAGCTAGTGTCCTAGGACAGAGTAATAAGATGAAAATCTTTCCCTTAGCATCATCCAAAGAAGGGAGATTTCTATAAACATCTTGTAGCTGCCACCATTTCAGTTTCTCAAAGCAGTTTTCCTTTCTTTGATGCGTAAAAAGTTAAAATATTCATTTAGGAGAACTGCTAAGCCAGACACTCAGAAGTCTGTTCATAGGAACATGTTGGAGCAGGGATACATGATACCATCCTAGAAGAGGTTTGTGTGGAGTTGGTCTGACAGTATCCTGTCTTGGAAGACATGTCTCTGGTTGCAAGGAATTGCTATGGGAACTAACAAAAGTTCTAAACGTTAAATTTAGTGTGTTTTCTCTGAAAAGAGATTCTTTAACGTGCAGGACTAATTATGCTTCATGTTGCTTGCTTCTGCATCTTGACATGTCACAAATCACAAATTAGATGTGAGATTGGCAACAACTATTGGGATTATCTATTCTAGCCTTAGTGGCTGCCCAAAGTTATTCATTGCAGTTTTTCAGTATCTGAAGTTTGTCATTAGAACCTGCAAATGTGTGTGTATATAAAATATATGCATTTGTAAAAATACACAAATATGTTGAAGATAGCATCTGAAAAAACTCCTTTAATACTGAATGTTGCAAAAAGATACTTACTAGATAATAGTTTAACATAAATGGATCTGCTTCAGTCCTAGCTCATGGTCTTACCTTTACCTTTCCAGGCCACATTCTTAAAACTGCTTTAGGTAATGGAAGGCCACCTGATGGAGTGGTAATACTGATAGAGAATGATGGAAATCTTAGAAGGGCTCCTTTAGGGGTGAAGGCTTTGTAAGAAAGAATGAGAATTGAATTATACATGAAATCACACACCATTGTTATCTATTAATGTACATCTGAGGATTGAAGTCTGTATGATTTTCTTAAAGAGAGAGCATTTAGGTTTCATGCTTTAACTGATCAGTCCATAGATTGTGACAAAAGAAGGATGTTCAGGTATGTAAGACATGATCTACTAGTGACAGCGATCTCTCAGAAGAAAATTTATTCAGGACAGCAAGTGCAAATATGTGATCTTCTGGCTTCTTTTATATGTCGCTTTCTGGATTGAGTAGGGCCACTTCTATATAGACTTGACTCGTACAGTTCACAATAGCTTGCATAGTAGCTTTGGCTTCCATACCTGCTTTTCAGCTGCAGTGCAAGTCAAAAGCTCTGCAGAGTCTATAGTTGAATAAGACTGTTTATTCAGACATTTTTATGAACTAATTACAGGTGCAGAATGAGGCAATCCAGGAACCTAGACATGCTATGGCATGAGCTATCCTGCCTCTGTTCTCAAATCTGCTTCAATCAAGACTCATACACAACTTCGTTGGTGGTTTAAACTAAACTGCCTGAGTTTGCCGTAAGTGGATTAGGGAAGGCTTATGATTTCTTTTGCTGGCACAACAGTGGAGGTGGCAACATCTTACAAAAAAAATGACCAACACTTTGTAGCAGCAGTGTCTTCATTTTAGTGAAACGCCATGCAAGATGCATGGCAAATGTAGCTGTTTTAGCACCAGATTAGATTAAACTAATACAATTTGATTGTTTATTCTTAATTCCTGTTACGTGAATTTATAGAATTATAGAATCATTTAGGTTGGAAAAAAACTAAAGATCATCAAGTCCCACCATAGATGAACTGTAATTTAGTGGTAGCTTCAATTGTGTTTAGCCACTTGTATGTATTCCATTTCTGTATTGCTTCTCAATTTAATTTTCATTTGCAATTATGTTTAGCATATCATTATGTGGAAGGTGGTATTGTTGCAGGACACAACGTGTCCTGTACTGAATTAATTTTTTTTTCTAGTAGAATTAACATTTTCATGATCTGATTTCTTGACCACTAAAGTATCTTGGTCTTTATTTAGCTGTCTTTGGACTAAGTCCTTCATGAAGTTCTCTGCTACTTTGTAGTGCAGCTCTGAACTTGATTACAATATGTTTCTTCCTACATTCTCTGTTCTAGGCCCACATTGGCCTCTGCTTCTACCTCAGGATAGAGTCCAATTGCAAATATGCCATTTAGGCTTTTGTAATTTTGAGCGTAGTAGCTTCTGGATACTGCAATGCTGCATTCAGAACAAGATACGCAGTTACTTCAGTAAACTTGAAGTATTTCTTGATCAGCTTTTATTTGACCATATAAATTACTGAAGAAATTCTGTGTTCCCAAAATGCTCTTATGTTGCCAGTCTGTTTTCATTGATTATGCTTTCCTGGTAAAGAGCATTATGATTGGAGAATCTTGGAGGACTAAAATGTGTTGTCAAGTGGTAAAGCCAAGGCTGTTTTCTTTTTTTCCCTGGATCGCAAACCTCAGCATGTTTGTCTACAGTGACTTGCTGGACTAAATATTCCAGTGAGTGAAGGGTTCCTCTAAAGTAAAATTCAGCCTTGTTGGATTCCGTCCTCCAGAGGATAGATTTGATCCTATACTTGTCAATTTTCAAAGCAGATTTTTCATTAAAACCTTTTCATGGCCCCTGATCTGATTTTCAAGCTTAACATAAGCATGTTTGATGGATCATCCCTTTCCAGTGTTTTCACAGCATTTCAAGCATCATTCTGAAGGAGGGAACCTTTTACTGTAAGCAGCTTTCTACCCACTCAAAATCTAGTCTGTATTTTAAACATGCAATTTGAAGGAACTTTTCCTTGTGTTTTATAAATTGAGTGATGACAATGAACCTTTGGTGTCTGGTGCCAAACATATCTACAAAAAAAAATCCCAAATGTTTCTTCGTGTTAGTACTAGCAAGACCTTCCTAGGTGTCAAATGGGAGATGTATGTTGTCATTGATATACAGAAACATTAATATTTTAACTTCTGCGGTTCCACACGCTGGATTTGGAAGGAGTTCTGCTATAAGTGTCACTCATGTTTAAAGAGGGGCAGCCAAGAAGTACCACTAAGTTGATCAAAAAACAATGCTGTACAAGAGTTTGGAATCCTCTATGACAGATTTTGACAAAGTGATTTATCCTGTGGAGATAAATAATATGTATGAGCTGGTTTATTAATCTGTAATTTTGATAAGGTTAAGTAGGGATTGATGTAAGTATACCTGGCCCTATGAAGATAATGTGGTTGCACAAGTGGAATTTTAAGCTGAATTTGGCCTGCAGAAACTCTACTGGTAAGTGAGACGTGATGCTTTAAGCTTGGTCGGTTTCCTCTCAAGAGACAGCTATAAGAGCTTTAAGCTTACCTCTGTTCTGTTTCTTTCAGGCACTGGTACATTGGTTTTTTAAAAGTGGTGAATTGAATGCATAATATTGTGTCATTCCTAAGGTTAGCTGCTTTTATTGAGATAGGTGCACTTGGTTGTTCCTGATATGAGTAGGATGGGCTAATCAGTTCTAACAGAGTTAAGCTGTATTGTTAAGGCTTCTGAGCTTTAAGTATGAATAATTATCTGGTTACTGATATTCAAAAAATATGATTTGATGACTGTCACATTATTTCAGGAAACGACGTTGGCAGAAGTTCTTACGGTGCCATGCAAGTGAAACAAGTTTTTGATTATGCCTACATTGTTCTTAGCCATGCAGTATCACCACTTGCAAGATCATATCCAAATAGAGATTCTGAGAGGTAATTAGTCCACTTTTTGAATATCCATTTGTCTGTGTAATCAATTAGGAATGTTTTGGTCTAAATCAATAAAAGGAATATTGTTATTTATTGTTTAACTGTGGCTGTATTGAAATTTGCCCAGAAATTTAGGCTGCCCAGCGCTGTTGAGAGTGCAATACCTCAGTGTGTAGCATTGAAATGAAGACAGCATGACAAAACTCAGGATGAGTCCAATGTGAGATTCTCTTAGTGTGGGAGGGAGCCAGAAGATAATTGGTCTTTTCTCAAACATTCTGCGTAAAATATTTCCAAGGGAGGTCTGCTGGTTTAATGTTTGGTGTGATGTATGACTGTACGATGGTAGAAAGAAACGTGTGATCAAATTGCTTATTAAGACACAAAACTAGACAAGGCTAGAAATGTCCCTAGTTCTTTCATACATTGCTTCCGTAAGCTGATTTAAAAGGCTTGATATGTAATTAAGCTATTAAAAGAATCAGTTCAGTTTGGCCGTAATGTCAGAACTGTCTTTAAAAGTAGCTTACTTCTAAATGTGCCATTTTAATGCAGTTCTTATTGTCTTTCATAGAAGCACTTTACAGCTAGTATTTTTTCAGCTCTCACTTTTGCAAGTTTTCTTTTTTTTGAAAGGGGGAGGAGAAAGAAAATGAAGTCTTGTCAGCCATGTTGTATTTCTATTCATGTATCTTCTCTAGCATCTTTTATGCTAACCCTCAGTACAAATTGGGGCTAGATCAGAGGATTTATGTTCCCTGAGACTTTTCTAGAATCCCAATGGTCTTGACTTCCCCAGCTATTGGCAGGGAGGGATGGCCGTAACAAGTCTTACAACCCATCTAGATACAATTCCAAACTCTAGTCAAGGTGTTAACTTCTAGCATTAATGTCACTGCAAGGTGAGATAGTTCTCCTATACCACAAAGTGGATGCAATCTTTCACTTGTGGATTTAAAACTGACAGTATTTTAACAGTGCCCATGAATTTCTAGGTTTTCTGTGGTTTTAAATTCATAAAGGTTGAGACTGCCTGTGATGGCGATACAGGAAGAGTGATACAGTGTTACACACTGACATGAGACTGCTGTTTCAACATAAGTTAAAGGTGTATCTGTTAAATGTGTACTGGCTGACAATTCTTGTTGCTGAATAAAACTTCATTCTTACATAAGTATAGATAGAACACTCAGGGATTCCTGAAATTTTGCTTGTGTCTTGGGTCCTGGCCTTCATTAACTTCTCTATGGTTCTCCAAAGGATATAATAATTCTCTAATAAGGTATTTATTACAGACATTAAAAGGTATATCTGTAAATGCATTTAATGGAAGCCTCAGATGTCATCAGTGTGTGCACTTGACATGTACATTTCTTAGTGTATTTGGGAAAAATGTTTGGATTTTGTTGCAACTTCAAACCTGGGGAGAAGTGCAAGCAGCAGTGTTCAAGTGTCATACATCTGACCTGTCTTTCTGATGGTTCTGGGCTCTCTGTGCCAGTGTTGTCTGAGTCTCAGAACTTGTCATGCCAGTGGCTTGCCGTTCTGTCAGAGAGACTGGTGTTGCAAGAGGAACAGCATTCAACAAAGCCCTGTATGCAAGTAGTTCCCCCGCACCTGTCTTGTCAATGCCAAAGGCCCTGTAGGTGGATGATGAGTTGTTTGGTAACAAGTTTGTTGCAGAATCTCGACACCAGTCCATGTTCAGTGTCAGATTTTAGCTGAATTCTTGGTGTTCCAGGTGTATTTCAGATGCTTCTTCCACCTGTTAGGCAGGGTGGTCCAGGCTCTGTATAAAGACTGTTCAGTGGCCTGACCTGAAGCTTTAGCCATCCAGAAGCCCTTTGTCTTGATCCAATTTTTCCCCTTTTCTAGGCTTGTTAGTGGTAGGTTAAACTGTAAATGGTGGGCTCACTTTAAGAGCAGTGACTATCTATAGGACTTCCTACTAGATGGATTAACAGAGAATAAAAGAAGAGCACTTGAAAGGGTAGGAATTTGCAGGAGGCTGAATTCGCCAGGTTGACCTGAGTTTATTTAGTTTTGTCATAATTGGGGCTAATGTTCCTCTAAGCAGAACTGTTTTGAATTTGCATCAGCTCATTCCAGGGAGAATTTCTGTGTACAAAGTCCTATTTTTGTAGATGACAATCTCAGTAGATTTCAAATCTTTCTGGGTGATCATTGTTACTGCTCTTTTTCAGGGCTTGAGTCCCACTCAAAGGAGCATAAGTCCAAGTCAATTTAAGGCTTTCTAGCTAGCTGCTGCTTCTGATACTCCCAGAGTGAAAGGGAGTCAGATTTTGGTCCTTCAGCATAGGCTTTTTTCTTCTCCGTGTTCTTCAGTAACAAGTTGCACAGAATTATAAGGGGTAGGTTCAAAGCACTTTTAGTGCCATCTTCATTCAAGCTTCCAAATATGACACTTGGAGTGTAGTGGGAGTTGAAAGCTGACTTCTGTCTGAATGGAAACAGTTATCAGCTGAATCCTGAAGGTAATTCTTACAGCCAGAGAAATTACCTTAACACTGTTTTGTCCTCAGTCTATCTCACCCATCCTCTTTCAAGAATGGCTCAGGAGAAGTTGATAGACAGTTCAGTAGATTTGTTAGAGCAAACGGATTCCCATCATCTTGGAAGGAGGAAGGTTTTTCCTAGTAGGAAAATGAGGATCCATTTTGAATCTGTGCAACTTGTATGCAAGATCAAGTTTGATGTTGAGAATTCAACCAAGGTGATTGAAAATCTTGATTGATTTCTAACCATTTGGGGTCACGGGGATATGAGACTACCTGTAAAGTTATGAACAGGGTAGCTCCTGCTTAAGACTCAGTGTCAATATGTGCTTTGAACAGCTTTAATATGGTGTTTGGCCATAGCCTTTCTCTGGAGAAGTGTGTGTCGTCTTAAGTGAGATAACTAGAGAAGTCTTTAAGAAGTGATATTTTCATAGAATCATTTAGGTTGGAAAAGATCTTTAAGATCATTGAATCCAGTTATTAATCTAGTACTTCCAAGTCCACCACTAAACCATGTCCCTCAGCGCTACATCTATACCTCTTTTAAATACCTTCAGGGATGGAGGTGTCTAAACCACTTGCCTGGGCAACCTGTTCCAATGCTTGACAACCTTTTTGGTGAAGAAATTTTTCCTAATATCCAATCTAAACCTCCCCTTGTGCAACTTGAGGCTATTTCCTATTGCTTGTTACCTGGCAGAAGAGACTGACTCCCACCTCTCTGCAACCTCTTTCCAGGTAGTTGTAGAGAGCCATAAGGTATCTCCTTAGCCTCCTTTTCTCCAGACTAAACAATCCCAGCTCTCTCAGACACTTTCTCCTAGGACCTGTACTCTGGACTGTTCATCAGCTTCTTTGCTTTTCTTTGGACACAAAGTTTCAAGTTAGTGACCATTTTCGTAGTTTTAATCTGTTTCTTGATTAAACCACAGGAAACCTTAGCAGATATTTGACAACAAGCTCTTGCTCATTGATTCATGTTGTTTGAAGTAGTGGACTGTTCATTAGTACCCTGTCCATGTTCTCTATATTAAGGTGCAATTTCACTTTATACTATCTATCTGTGGGCTGTCAGCTGCCCTTTTTCTTCCTTCTCAATGTGTATGTCCATGACTCTTGCCTTGGATCAGATCTAGCAATCCTGTGGTCAGAAGGTCAGAGAAACTCTCTGGTCTGACTGAACAAATACATCAACACTTAGATCATGTCAAGAAATTGATGCAGCTTGTGGCTGTGGGATGAGCAGATCAGAAGCAAGAGAAGCAGCAGGAGTTCATGTTTAGGATGGAGAGAGTAGTATTGTACCATTTGACAGCAATCAGTTGTGCTGATCTGGATGTGACAAAGATGCATTCTTAATGTTATCCTTAAGTTTAATATGTATGTCTGTAGGTCAGCATGTTGGCTTACATGTTGGCCTGTCGCATGGTTCAGGTACAAATATGTACTCAGACTGCATCTCTGAACAGCAGTGTAGCCACATTTGGGAGGCAGACAAGGTCATATGAAATGAGGAATGGAAAACTAGTTCTACTGTGATATGCCTTTCCAGTATAGCTAAGACTTCTGAAATCTTCAGTTCCTAGAGTTGCAGATTGGTAACAGGTTCCTCTTTTGTGGTGCCAGACATGTGGGGCAGGTGGATGAGGGAAAGGGACTGTCATGTCAACAGGCTGGAGTTCAGAGTTTGAGGAAGCCTTGGCAGGGTTTTGCTGCTGGAGTTATCATTTACAGGTGATATGCTACAAAAACAATTGTCTGGGCCATATATTAAGTGATTTTTCCATATCTGTGCTTGAAAGCTGTTTGGTTTCTTCCTAATATATAGTTCAATTGATCTAGCTGCTGACAGGTGCATATGTTAGGTTTGGGTTGCCCCTGGTTGGTCAAGATAATCCTGGGAGCTTTGGGAGCTGTCAAAGGGAGTGTTAAATTTGCCTGCCAAATCTGGTGACATAGAAAGAAATGTGCTGTCTGAAACGGTCCTTCCTTTGCTTCACATCTTGAATGGTTGGTGGCTGTCACTAGAATGCATGCTGTCTTTTAAGATATATCAGCAATATCAGCTTTTCCTGCAACAGAATATTTCTCTGGATAAAGGTTTTAGATTCTTTTTTTTTTTTAAATCCTCATGCTCAAGCAGATCCTTCTTAAGTGCTCCTTAGTCTGCTTTTAGATTGTATTGCCCTTTTAATACCAGCAGGATATTTTAAGGCCTACTGAACAGTTATTTTGTCTGTACTTTCACAGACTGTATTTTTTCCTACTCTGGTACTCATTTGTTCATGTAAGCTTGGCTGAAGCTTTAGATATTTGAGTTTACTGAATCTTGTCATCATTCTGAGCATTTTAAGAGTCATTCTAAGATTTATTTGCACCATACTAGTGCTGTAATGACAGCTGGAAAGTGTCCCTGTGAACTGAGGGCTTGCAGTGTGCAAAAAGAGGAGCTTCTAAAGTCTTATCATAAAGTAGACTAGGTATGTAAGTAGCTTATTCCTGGTTTTACTGTATGATAATATTAAAAGAAAAACCATAGAGGGGCATCTTTCATAGGACAGCTGTCTAAATTTATTAAGCAGTTAACTCTTTTTTCTACGTCTTGCAAACAAGCATCTTTGAAGAATTGTGGGAGTGTCTCATATCTGGAGAAATTCTGGCTTCAGCCAAAAAAAGAAGCCCAAAAGCGTGAACTTAATAGGTTTTTTGTTCCTAAGCGTTTTCGGTGTTGAAAACAGATGTAAGCACATTTTATACATGTTTATTTTAAAAAAATTCTTCTCTGACGCCGTGGATGTGCTTGAGTCCCATACATGGGAAATGGTGTTCGAGAGCAGTGTCTAGTTTGATCATACTTGCTTTCTCTCTTTTTGCTACTGTATTAAGTGTATAGCAGTATAGCCTTAATCACCTTTCAGTTTCTGATGTCTCATAATGAATGATTTTTATTTTGGTGTATGAGCAATGTAGCATGGATCTGCCTTTTGACTCCTGACCTGATAAATTAGTGAATTTCTTTTTTTTTTTTTCTTTCCTACCTTTCTAGCAAAAATGGGAGTTTGGGGCTTTAACCTCTGTTTTCTGTGAAAGAAGCTAGTGAGAGAAGAGGTTCCTATGTTCTGTATGCGCAACTCTGCCATAATTGTTGGTGTAGGAGGAGTTTCATCCTTTACATCTCTTCTATAGCAGGCATTTCTGGTCTATCTATCATCCAGGCTGATAAAAATGCCATCTTACATTATTACCATTTCATATTATCTTATACCTACCATTTTCCTTCTGGGTATGAAGACATGACTATTGATTTGCTTCTGAGGAAAGTACTCCAAGACTTGACAAAACTCATCCATAAGAGCTTGTGTTATTCAGTCCATGCTCATTTTCTGGTTCTAAGACCACAGCTGGTAGTAGTTGTGAAATGTATAGGTCATCCTGGAGTGAAAACTCAACTCTTTCTGAAGGTATTCTCAGGTGAAACTTTTTAGCTGCAAGATTTCTGTCGCTGTCCTGGTGGTGAAGAGGTCCAGCATGTGTATGTTTGAGTCCCATACTGACATTGCATTGATCTGCAACTTCAGGGTCACAGTTCATTCTCTGAAGTATTGGTCATCCCTTTCTTTATTCTGTCTCCTCTGGTTTAACTTTTTTTGAGACTGAGAAAACACAACTGCATAGAGTGTTTAAATGCTGTTATGTCATGGGAGTGTACATTGACAAAGCACTATCCTCTGTTTTATTTGTTCCTTTCTTAATGTGCTCTACTTAGCTATTGAGCTGTGGATTCCAAAGAATTACCTATTATAACCTTAGTTATGCCTTTAGTTGCTGAGTGGTGGCAATCATGCCTTTAATTCTGCATGTAAAATTCAATAGTTTATTTTCTGACATGCATCATTTTATCTGCATTACATAAATAGAATGGTGGATGACATTCATTCTGTGCGTGAGGCTCTTCTGCAGCTATTGGTCTTGTAACTTAGATGATATTATTTGGTTCAGTGTTTGCTTAAATCGCTGGACTGCCTTTTTCAGTACTAACACACTGACATGTTTTTAAAGTTGGAAGACTAAACATGGAACGTGGTATTTGGTCTTGCATGATATAGTAATACCTAAGCCAGTAGGAGAATTATTGCTCCTATTAAAAATGTTACTAACAAAATGACCTAATAAAGGTCGTTTAAATGCATTTAGGCTATGCATGTCCTCCCCTCCCATTATACACCTAATCCAAAAGAAAATTCCAGTACAGGTGCAATGTATGCTGTGGAATACAAAATAATCTTTATTGTAACCATTGAAGATTTCTCAAAACTAAAATAACATTATCTTCTCCAAGATGGTAACTTTTCACAGCCTATTTTTATACAATAATCTATCCTTCATGTATCTTGAGTGCGGAGTTCATAGTGTTTCAGCCACTAGTCCCTGATAAAAGGAAAGCTTAGAAGTTTAGCTTTCAAACAAGGACACAACTCCTGCTCAAGAAGAAATGCAAATAGCTGAATTTTGGTAAGGTATATTGGAAGAATATTACTTGTACTTGCTGATAGCTGGTCACTGTTCAGCAGGACCAGGTAGGCTTTTTCTCTGAAGCAGCTACTATTATGTATTTTCTTAAATTCTAACTTTGGTTTTGGAGCCAGTCTGTTTCTTGTTTCCACTACCTCATGATCCATGGTACTTCCTTTATAGTTGTGGGAATCTTACACTTTTAAGTTGTATTGTAGATCTGTAAGGAAGGACTAGTGAAGGTCTCTGTCTTCATTGTGAAGGTCAGCTAGGGGGCCTGATGATATTAATGTCTTCAGTGCATCCCATAACTCTTCTAATCCAGATTCTGGGGCAAAAATATCTTCTGTATGGAGAAATGTAAGAAACTGTAAATTGCTTTTATTAAATATGTTGACATCTGCATGTACATTCTTGATAATTAAGATGCACTCCATTTAGAAATGTAGATTAAAAATCTTACATATAAGCCAGTGTTTGCATATTAGTATGATAGAAGATACTAGTTTAAAAATTATGATGCTTTAGTGAATTAAATGGTGTGCTAAGGAAATGAATGTTGAAAAGGATTCTTTGGGTGGGGATATCTTGAACTGACTTTCAGCATAATTTGGTTGTTGAAATGCTTGCAAGTATGTAATCAACAGTCTTTGTTTAATACTTAATTGAATATTTATTTTTTTTTTTTAGCACATTAGGTAGAATCATCAAAGTGACACAAGAAGTGATTGACTACAGGGCCTGGATTAAAAAGAAGTGGGGGAGCAAAATTAATTTATCACCTGAACTTGGTAGGTATAGCAGAAATCCTTGAAACCAACTTAGATCAAATTCAAGAAAAAAAAAATCAAAATACTGGTGCCTTGAAATAAATCACCTTCAGATATGCAGGAAAAAATAAAAGGAGTTTGTAACTTTCTAACTTAAGACTAGTTTTTTTTTTCCTGAGTGTATTCTTCAATTAACTTGTTAAACTGCAGCTCTTCCTAGACTTCAAGGCCCATGTGTTTGTATTCTGTGTTCTTAAATGATACTTATGTTTTCTGTTAACAGATAATAGGTTGAAAATAAGAGACCAGATAGCTCCGTGTAATGGAGAACAACAACAGAACAGAGACTCTGAACCATCTTACAACCAGCGTTTGACTTTGTCATTGACTAGTACACAGCAGTTATCCTCTGGCTCTTCTGCTTCATCTGTATCATCACTCTCCGGCAGTGACATTGTAAGCTTTTTCTTTTAATGGGTTAAAGTAATAAGAAGCAGAGTTTATGATACTCTTCATAGCCTCAACTGATACAGCAGCAGCTAATGTGATAGTATCCTGAAGCTGCTATAGCAAATTAATAACCTCCTCTGCTCAGAAAAATTACTGAAATTAAATATTTTTTTTCATTAAGTTAAATGGGTCTTAATTCTATCCTGAATCTTCAGTACTCTTTGTGATAGTAGTTAGATGTAATAAAATATAGAACCCAAAGTAGAAGAATATAAATACGTCTTCATGAATCTTCCCATCAAGCAAAATCTGCCATTGTCAAATTCTGGTCCTTTTTCCCCACACCCCAAATTGAACATGAACATCACATTGTGCTGTCAAGGTGAATAATATTATTTACGATTTTCAGCCCAGCAGTCAGCTCACATTTTAATGGTAATGAGGCTCTCATGTGCAAAGTCTTGCTGTCAGCTTCCTTGTTTGAAACTGCAAATAGAAAGTAATTGCTGGGCTTTGTAACTTCCTGGAAGCTAAAGACTATAGTCTTTTTAGGTATGTTCTCAGACTCTTAAGATTGTGTAAGGTGGCTTTGTTTTGATATGGCGTTAAATCAACATGGAATTGGGCAGTGCAGATTATGAAGCACAAAATTGCATTGCATGGCATGAGGTGCTTGTTATAAATCTACTGTAGCGTTCCGCGCTGGTTAGAGGAATGAAGTGGAACAAGATGTAGTATCCAGTTAACTACAATAGTGAATAACTGGATGATGCCGAGAGAGGTCCAAGTACCTGTTTCTTGAATGCTTTCAAAAACTAGTCAGATATGGAATTAAAAGTTGGGAATTGTATTCAATAAAAATTTAATAACTTTTGAGGGACAGATGCGTGCATTATATGTTCTGGTTACTCTCTGTAATTTCTTTACTGAATTTTCTGTGTTGAATTGTTTTTTTCACTGCATCTCAAGTAAATATGGTAAATGCTTTAGTTGCACCATCTGGCTAATGGAAAAAGAACAGCATGATGCTTTCCAGTGATACTACTAGCCACGCTCCTGGTTTGAGTATGTCAGTGAGAAAGATACTGCTGTAATGTTTTATGAGGAAAAGCAAATATTTGCTTAATATTATGCACTCTCAAAGTAATGGGTGATGAGTGGTTATGACCTCCCCTTAGTCCCTTTTTGCCTGATGTTGAAGATGAAACTTCCTTGCTTGATGCTAGAGAAATAAATGAAAAGTAAAAAGGAAGCTCTCAACAAGAACGACCTGCAATCAGTTTTGGCATCCACACAGTAAGTGGGAATGCTGCCATTTTTAACAAAATGCCCTATTGCCTGTGTGCTTGTAACAGACCATAGTTTAAGACTTGCCAGCATATCTTAATTTGCAATGGAATGGAAGGTTTCTGACAAATAACTGATGAGTTCATCCTACTCACACTTGAACATGTGAGGGTGATCAAGTTCTGGTTAAGCAGTCCTGAGCTGCAGCTGGTTCAGGAGGAGAAGGCTATTCTGCCAGAGTCAAAGAGGCTGTCGTGGCATGGTCTGGCATAATACTGTGCCCAGGTTCTAGCAAAGGAACATGTAGCATGTGTGACAACTGGTATTTGTGCCAAAACTAATGCTGCACTGCAAATAGGTATGAACTTTGATACCAGCTTCAGAACGAGGGAACATGAATATGGTGCATCTCATCACTGTAGAGTTAGTGGTAGCTCTGATCTTGTAGAATGATTGTTCTTCAGGAAAGATTCCGTATTCATTTAAAGTTAGATCTTTTGAACTTTTCTGATACTGGAAACTGAAAGCAAGATACAGGTTATGAAGAAAATGCAGAAGACAGGGGGATCCTAGATTGACAGTTTGCTGGTCTCTTCCCAAGAATTCTAGTTTTATTAGCAAAATATTCATTCCTGTGATGCTCCTGTTGACCTTAAGCTCAAGATCTGCATCAAGACACTGTTTCTGGAGATGTATTTTGCATGACTGCAGAATATCAACTGAAGTGTGTTAACTACAAGATCCTAGCTGTCAAATTAGAGGGACTTGATAGTGTATTTACTTTCCAATTTACTGCTAAAGTTTCACTGATAATAGCGATCAGCGGCACCTTGACCTTTCTGAGATCTGCCTACCAATATGATAGAAGTCACCTTACGTAAGTTGAGGAAGAAATAGGCTTGGCAACTTGTGACTTGACTTGGTCATATTGCCCCTCTCTGAACTTCAGCTTCTACTGAAGGTCAAATATTCCAGCTGTCCACTCTAGCACAGAGGTAGCTGGATTTTGACATCATCACATCACTGTACACTGGCCATAAGTCTGGAGGCCTTGCGTGTATTTGTCAGTATGTCCTGAAAGCAATATTGGCAAGATATATTAAGTACACAAGCATTATCAGAGCAGTGCACTATTGCTCATAAGGATCCTGGAGTTTTTATTAAACTCTGTAGTTTAATAGCTGGTTGTAACAGGTAGTTAAGTTTAGTTGGTTGTAATATAGCGTGCTGTATGGTTTTTAGAGATTTGCTTCCTTAAAGTTCGGCAGCATTACAGATTTTTGACTTGCATTCCATAAACATGGCTCAGCAGCTGAATAGACAAGGCTCCTGGTGTCTTGGAGTTACAGGCACTTCAGAGGTAGCAAGGGTTATAGATTTGTTCCAGCAGCAGGAGAACAGGTGTCAGAATAGAACAATAAAAAGGAGCAGGTTTTTCTGGAGACTGCATAAATCAGAGCTAACATTTAGAAGTCAGCCTCTCAACTTGGGTACATACTCAGAAAAATGGAAGTGTAGGGATAAAAGAGCTTAAAGTTACTACTCTGAGTTCTTTGCATTCCTGCCACTGCTTTCCTTCCTTCAGAGAGCATACTGATGGTAACCTTTTGAAAATGAGTACTCGTGTACCACTGAGGAGGGAGAGAACTGCCTCCTTCAAGGATAGTGTTCTCTTTCCCCATGTATTTCAGATGTATATACTTATCCTCAGTACACTGCCTCAAATTCAGGAGGATGATTGTGTTCATCTCTGCAGATCCATGACTAGCTTGCAGGGCAACACACTTCTGGGCCACATTCTACACAGCACAAAAATAAGAATTGGATCTAATGAGACTGTCATAATTTGTGCCAAAAGTATCCTTTTATGGATTGTCCCAAGGCAGCAAAAGCAATTTACAAATGCCTTATGCTAGTGCTGTCTGGCTGATGAAATTCTAGTTGTGCTGTCTTTTGTAAGTGTCCTAGGAAACTTCAAAATCTTAGTCATAAAAGAAAGCTGTCTCAAGGACCAGTAATTTTCAAATCAAAGACTGTGTAAAAGAGTAACCTGTCTTCTGGTATCACTATTAGTGAGATACCAGTTCAATTTATGGGTTTGTCTTACTATACATGTCAATACAGAGCTCTGACTCTCACTGGCTGCACATTATTGAGTATTAAAATTCCTGCCCTATTACCTCAGCTCTGTGAAGAATATAAATATTAGTGATCAGGAGCAAACTGAGGAACACATGGAAATAAACCTCTGGATACAAGGAATCTGATCATCAGAATGTACTCGGCTGTGCACATGTTTTTTATGGATTCTGTTAATGATCAAACTGATCTGTGTAGTAATTGAAGTATTCTGCTGTGCAGGTATTTAAAATACCATTTGCTGCCCTGACAAAGAGGCAGTATGTATTCTTCACTTACTCGTGCAAACAGGTAAGTTGCAAAATACTACGCATTCCCACGTGATCCAACAAGTGTTGAAATGAATAATGGAAGATGCTTTGTAAATATCTTTGCTATAAAGGACAGTGCTAAGTGTGTGAGTTTTTACTCTTTAGGAGCAAGACTCAGACTGTTCCACAAGAGAAAATAAGCCTCTGGAATAAGGAAATTGCAGTTTAACCTTCCTACTGAGTTAAGTGATTGTTAGGAGAATCTGAAACCAGATGAAACTATGCTTGCCCCCATCTCTCTACTTGTTCTGGCTAGTTGCAGGTGTCAGTCTGAGAACCTAAGCAGTGACCAAATTCCTCTTGAAAATGCCTTTTTTTCCTGGATGTTTTTTCATTCTGGACCTGCACTCTGTAACTGGTGACCTAGATTTCTTGTTGCTTAGGCATTGTGGAAAGCTGCTTTTTATTAGCTCAGGAAGTCCTAGAGTAGTGTTGGAGAATATCTGCTGCCTGATCAACAGTCCCTACCAAGTGAAAAATAAACCTAGGTATGTTTTTGCAGTCTCATTTTGGTCTGGTATAATTCCTGGTGCTAAGTATGCTCTGCAGTTTTGTGGCTGTTTTGCCAAATAAAGCGTAGCATTTTATGTGACAGTGATAACCTGCATATCAGTAACAAAAGTAATGGCTCAATAGGAAAACTTTAAAGCTCTTTTCTGTTACCTAATGGATATATAATCTCATATCCAGTCCAGCACACAAGCTCAAAGTTGTCTCTTAGAAGTTTGGATCTAAGACATTTCATATATCTTATCTCAGTGTTTCTGATCATAATGTTCTTTGGGTTTGTATGACAAGATTATTTTGTGAAGAGTTGTCTAGACCATGCAGTCATGTCAAGGTAGTTGGACTTTCAGTGAACCAGGTACCTGTGTAGTCTAGTTTGGGGAAGAACACAACCCTTGCCTCTATTTAACTTTTTAGCATTTACGGTAAGTTCTTTCAGACTCTTCTTGACATTTTAGCCATAGCCATTGCTGTTCAGGGTTTTAACAACCTTTCATCAGAATACCTATGCTTGATCTGCCAATGTTCTTCCCCCATCAGGTAGGGGATATGCCGAGGAGTACCTTAAGTGTTTAATAAAACGTGTCTTTTAACTGTCTGCAGGTATTAAGTATTCATTACTTTGATCAGATGCATACATTGTGAGAGTAGATATAAATATGACTGATAAGACTAATACTCATTATTGCCATCATTCTGCTGAACGCATACAAGATCCACACTGACTTTGGAACTGCTACTGACTTGGCAGTAATCGTGCCT